GTTATTTGCCATCGAGTCAGCCCCGACTCATAGCAACCCCTCCTTGGGTTTCCAAGGCAGTATCACTACGGAAGTAGGAATGCCCAACCTTCCTTCCAAGGAGTGGCTGGTGGGTTTGAACCGCCAGTCAAGTGCCTTAGGCACTATGCTACCAGAGCTCCTGTGTAATATATAGTAGAGTGGAAAGAACATAAATTTTTGGAGTCAGATAGGCTTATCTCTGATACTTAATCAAGATACTTTATATGGCTAGGATGTTAGTTGAATCACAAAACATCTCTGAAATTAGTATCTTCATATACCTAAATGGGATCTAATACAGGACTATTGTAAGAATACAATGTGGTTTTTGAAACTTATTTAGAAGGTGCTTTATAAATGATAGTTCCTTCCCACACCCCTAAATACACTTTAAAAGTTCTAGTTGACAGTATTTTCTTTTTCTATGCCTGATTCTTCAGCCCTGAGGTTAAAGAACTAATTCATGTATATCTGTGGAATGAGGCATCTCCCATTTTTTATATAGATTGATACTTCTGAGCATTAAAACAACTAAGGATTGCTTTGGGATTGAGAATTGGACTAAATTCTCAGTACCTCATAGGTATGTATTTGTAGACTCTGCATACTTCGTGTGAAATATTATTGAGATTTATTTTTGGAATTTTATATTTTCTGGTGGCTGGGAAAGAGGTCTGGTGGCACAGTGGTTAAGGCATTCAGCTGTGAAGCAAAGATCAGTGGCTGGAACCCACTAGGCAGGTGAGGCAGTCTGCTTCTGCAAAGATTTACAGCCTTGGAAACAGTGTGGGGGTGTGGTGTAGTGAATTGCATGGTATGGCTTTTCTAGCCATAGTCTTTGTAACTCCCACTGGATTACTGGGTGGGACCATGCAAATATGTGTCAACTTGGCTGGGCAGCTGGTAATAGTTATTTCCTATAATGAGACTGGCAATTTAACTCTGTGGTGGAATTTGCTGTGAGCAACTGAGTAGCTGCTTTTAAACTCCTGATGGTTGAAGTCATCCACCTGGGGTATTTCTGTTAGAGCTGTGGTTGTTGTTGTTGTTGTTATGTGCTGTCCAGTCAGCCCTGACTCATAGTGACCCCTCCTTGGGTTTCTGAGGTGGTATCACTATGGAAGTAGATTGCCTAACTTTCCTTCCGAGGAGTGGCTGGTGGGTTTGAACCTCCAGCCTTCTGGTTAGCAGTCAAGTGCCTTTGGCACTATGCTACCAGAGCATGAAGTAATCTGGGAAAGTTCACTCTTTCTCAGGTGGATAGAACTTTGATGTTGGGATTGGTTGTTTTTGCCACTCTGCCAGGCTCAATATGAGACTTCCTAGAGGCAGAAAGAATCTTACTACAGGCTGAGAGAGATACGCTGCTTAGGGAGATGTGCTGTTGAGAGAGAGGCACCTGCTGATAGAGAGACTCCCATGTGTGAGAGAGACGCCTGGCTGAGAGAGACACATGGCTGGGAGAAATGCCTGGCTGAGAGATGGCAGCAGTGGAACAAAGAGGCATGAGACAGAGTGGCAAGCTTACCTGCCCAACAGAGGCAGAAGCCAAGCTGAGAGGCCAAGGGCCAGAAAGGCGTGTCTAAGGGTACAGCAGAGGGGAGACTGTTCTAACTGAAGAACTGTATCCTGAGTATGTTCCTGAATTTGAATTGTATCCTGTTGCTTCCCTAATAAACTCCATAATCTGTGAATTCTGTGTGACCACTGCAGCGAATTATTGAACCCAGCAGAGAGGTGGTGGGTGCCTCTGAAGAGACGGTTGGTGTCAAGGTTGGTAAGAGGGCTGTAGGGTGGCGGCATGTCTGACCTCATAGGAATAGGCCTTGGGCTGCTGATGGTGATTCTGCCTTCTTGTGAAGTTAGAGGAGGTCAGAAGGCTGTCTCCTTGCCCCTTTAGTGGGGGGAATTTCTACTTTGTCCTAAAAGGGTAGCTATGAGTCAGAATTGACTCGATGGCAGTGGATTTTTGGGGACTGAGAAGATAATTGATTTCAGACCAAGTGAGTTTTTTTTTTTTAATGATTCCACTCTATCTTTGATATTTCAGTTATTATTATATATATATTTCTCCAATTTTAGAGCTTGTCCTGGGATTCATAACATACATCTTTGATCCATTCTACTTTCAAATAATATATTATTTCACATGTACAGAGAAATCTTAAAATAGTATACTTACAATTCCTCTCCCATCACTTATGCTATTGTCATACATTTTACATTTACATATGCTGTGAATATACAGTGCATTGATACTGTTTTTCTGTATTTTTAATTTTTTTTTAAATTGTGATTTTGGTGGAAATTTACAGAGCAAATTCTCTTTCCATATAGCAGCTCACATACACTTAGTCTCATGACATTGACTACTATTTACCTCAATGTAACAGCTCCCTTCCCACTTCCTCCCCATAGTTACCTTTTCCCTGTGTCCATCCCTCCATGCACTCCTTCCCCCTGAGCTGACTCCCTGTGTATACACAACTCTT